GTTGTTAAAAAACCTCAAGTTGCAGGTGTGACTATTTTTACCCTACCTCCACACTGTAGTCACAACATACAGCCCTTAGATATATCGATATTTGGACCATTCAAAGCATATTACAATGCTGGTATTATTTCTTGGCCTCTACGACATCCATGACTATTTACCAAATAGCCGAATGTGTTGGAAAAGCTTATGAGATCAAAATCCTTAACTCTTTCCAATATAATGTAATCTTTGACGACACAGGCTTTTAAACATCAACAGTATCTGACAGGCTACAACGGAAAGATGTCCTCGATTATGAATTACCTGGAAATGCCACCTTACAGGTGGCATTTTACCACCTTAAAGAAGGAAAGAAATGGATAGGACGAAAGAAACTCTCTTGGTTGAGGAATTTGCGGCAGTGGACAGGTTTGACAGCGGTCCAATTGCTACACGTAGCGCAAGACCGAGATCAGTATAATAATATTATAAGCATGGTAGTCGCCGACGTTCCGTAGGGATATGGCACTCTAAGAAAAAGAAGCCACCTTACAATTTCGTGAAGAGACTACTCCAGAAAAAAGTGAACCTGGACCATCTAACATCGTTAGATGTTAGATGAAACAATTTTCAGTATTTTTTCTTTGAGTTCTATTTCTTTCAGTATGTGAATTTTTAGCTAATTTCGTAGTTAGAATGTTAAGAAAGAGTTAGTGTAATATGCTGATTTGAAAATTTTCTTTTTAATTCAAAAATAAATTCAAAAACTTTTTTTTGTTTCACTGTGTACAACTCTCCCCTACAGCAATTTCACTCGTGTACCGGTCAGCTTTGTTGCCTGCAATGCCAATGTGAGATGGTATCCATACAAATCCATAGAAATTAGCACTTGGTTTGTTGATACATGTCGTATACTATATTCCGTACCGCCATTTTTGATCCCTGAGATAGATCGGTTGTCTAGTTTTTCAGACGAGATTACTTTTGTCTGGCTTTGAAAGAATATAATTATTTTCTTTCCCTTTTTATAATCGTATATATACTGTCTGTCGTACAACGACGGAGTGAATACAGGCAACGACCTGGTCAGCTAGTGGAACACTGGAGAATAGGCCATAATGGATAGGGCAAACAGCCCTTGAACTAGTTAGGATGTGGCTGGATGAGAAAGAAATTACACTAGCCACACAGAAGATGGAGACCATAATCTTTAAGGGTCCAAGAGCGAGAAAGCATATCTCCTTTACTTTGACAGAATAAAGTATCCTACCTGTCAATAACGTCAAATATCTGGGCGTAATACTGGACACCAAACAGAGATTCGGTGAACACGTAATATATGCTGCGAAAAAAGCCGATCAACGAACAGTAGCGCTAACAAAGATCATGTCAATCATAGGTCTGTGGACAGGTAGAAGAATTTTTATCGAAGTGGTCCATTCAACCATACTATACGCAGCACCAGTGTGGCAATGGATAATGCGTAAACAAAAATACAGAAAAGTTCTGGAGAAAATTCAGAGAAAGGCCCAGGTAAGGAGCGTCTGTGCATATAAGACGACTTCGACAGTAGCCTGTCTTACAAGTAATAACAGGTTTGCCACCATTTCATCTACTAGTAAGAGAAAGAGCAATTACATACGACGTGACTGAAAACTACGAAGCAGGCGAGAGAAAGGTGACCAACGCGAAATGGCAAGAAAAGTGAAAAAACGAACATATGACTGAATGAACAAGAACGCTCATATCGAACGTGAGAGACTGGTTAGAACACGGCGATAGGGAGACTAACTACAATTCCTCAAGGGGTACAGCTCCTTCAAAGCCTACCTGGTAAATATAGAAAAGCAAGAATATCTCCATTCATTTGTTCTAATTCGAAATACTCCAACATATTTAACACAAGTTGTGCTTGAGAATTTAATTGTTTGTCAGGTATCATACTCTAAAAATAAAAACGCTAAAAAGTATTTCATATCACTCAGTTGATATTGTTTTGAAGCTAATTTCTTGTGGTATCTTAATGCACTATATGCCATTATAATGGCATAAAATAATTGTGATTTACAAGTACATAGTCAATTAAAGATTCACTATCAATAGTAATTTGAGTGGGTTCATTAATAATCTGTTCAATTTTTTATTGTAATAACCATCTCTTAATTTTACCTGCATAAAAGCAGGTTTACGACGAATATATGTTAAAATCTCCAATCAGAATACATCTCAGGTTAGAACAAAATACACTGTCAAAAATATTCTCCAAAAATACATTATCAGATGCAGAAGCTGATCGGTATAGGCAACCAATTAAAAATATCCAAGATTCAATTTTTATTTTAGCACATTTGCACCAAATATGACCCTTTATCTTCCACAAATGACTTAAATGCAAAATTAATATTATCTTTGGGAACCATTTTGGGCAATATACTTAGTGCGTTTAGATAAAGGATATCTGTATTAAATTTAGTATTAGGGTTCGTTATTATTTGACTGTAGTTTATTAAGAATTGTTGGTTTATTATTGAAATATTTAATAATTTTTGAATCTTCTCCTGCAACTCAGCTTTCACCTTTTTTTATAATACTCTTGTTGGGCTTTAGTTTGATCAGATGCTATTTTAATACCAAAAATGTAAGCGGATCTATTTTTTAAATCTTCCGGAGATTTCAACAAAACTTTAAAAGCGAATTCTATTACCATCATATTTGCTAACCTGTAAAGCTCGAACTCTGGGTATTCAATACTATACCTACTTTGATAATATATTTTTCATTGCTTCCGTATCATCTTTTATGCATTCCAGTTTTTTAATTTTATTACGTTCATTGAAATATAAGCTATAACCTTTAATAATAGCAGTATTAACTTGATGTTAATACTGCTATTATTAAGTAAATAATGTATTTTTTAGGAGGTATTTGAGTGTAGACTGTACTTGGCAATTATAATCTCTATGCTTTTGTACTAACTTTTAACTCGATGGTAATACATTGGAACCTGCTTAATTCGAATTTTTATTCTGGTCCCTAGCATTTCCTATATAAGTAATGGTAAAAAGTCGTGAATAATTCGAATTATATTTTGGATAATTCAAACTTTTCTACAACCTAAAACGTCAATTTTTGCTGGAAATTTCCGCGAAAAGAGGTAGTATTCTTTTCTGTTCTCAGGCTCCAATTGTTTCAAGGTATTCAACACCATTGTAAATTGTACCCGTATCTGTATACTCGTACCGCTATCACGTCAGCATGTCATTGCGTTTTGAGCGAAGATATCGTCGCTTGGTAAACTTCGAACATACAAGACTTTGACGTTATCGAAAAAAATAGCGGCAGTTAAAGAAGTAGAAAAATAGACAAAGAAAAAATATGAGATTCCAAGGAATTTGGTATTTTTCCTAACACAATATAATTCACACCTACTTCTTCTAATAGGTGGATATACCTACTTGAAGAATAAAGAAAAAATCTCAAGAGTGAAAGTGAGTGCGGTAAAGAACAAAAAATGTTAACGGAGCCAGAAAACCCAAATGTGTTTTAAAATGGTTCGAATAAGCCAGGGATAAGGAGATAACCGTGAGTGGTCCCCTTATAAGAAGCAGCGCTGAACAATTTGTTATTGAAATGGGGAAAAATAACTTTAATTCGAGAACAGGGTGGCAAGACGGCTTCAAAGAACGCAACAAAATTTCATTCAAATCCATTTGAGGAAAAAGTGCGGCCGTTAATCAATAAGAGGCAAACGAATGGAAAAAATGGGAGGAGATGATTCATGATATAGATATCTTCAATGTTGACGAGACAGGTCTTTTTTTAAATGCACTCCTGCCAACACGCTGGCATTTGAAAAATAAAAATGCCACGCAGGAAACCTAAGCAAAGAAATAGTCACTCTCCTAATTGGTGCAAACATGGACGGATCAGAAATGCTGCCTGTACTGATGATTGGCAAGTCGGCTAATCCGCGTTGTTTTAGGAACGTCAAGTCAAAACCAGTGGAATATGTGAGCAGCGCAAGAGGTTGGATGGTTAGGGATCTTTTCGAGAAATAACTAATGAAATTGGACAAAAAGTTCATAAAAGAAAAGTTAGTTTGTTTATTGACAACTGTCCTGCCGGCCTACAGCACTATCGTATTAATGGAAAATGTAAAAGTTATTTTTTTCCCGCCAACATGACTTCAGTTCTCCAGTATTGACGGAAGATTGCAACTGCCTTGAAAAAAAGTTAAAGCCTCTCGAATGTGTAAGAAAGCTTGGGAGAAAGTAACACCCGAAACGATTAAACATTGTTTAAAAAAGCTAGTTTCGTAACAAACTGGGAGTATGTTATTTCTGATCCTGCCGTCTCTTATAAAGATTTTGCCAACGTGGATAAAGATGTTGCAGTGCAGCCGAAGTAACGAATCATATTACACAACTTAGACGGTACTTTGAAAGTAAAAATGACTGAAGTCACTCTATTTTTAGTTCACTTTAGAATACCCTAAAATCTTTTGTCATTGCCGAGAAGCTAAAAATTTCGGATTTATTTTTATTTCCATTTTTTATAGCTTGCAAATGTTTTAATTGGTTTTCGTGACCGAATTTTGTTAGCCCATTTTTTTCGGTTGACAAAATTCGTCAAGAATAGGAACGAAAACATCTGCAAAAGATAAAAATGGTCAACTGTTGTTGATTTTTATCGTTTGCAGATGTTTTTGTAGGTATCACTGTTTTTTGTAGTTCTATTTTTAATTCGAATTTTTGGATATTTCAAATTTTTAAATGGTCCCCTGAGATTCGAATTATCCTTCACTGTACTGCTATTATTAAGCAAATAATGTATTTTTTAGGAGGTATATGGGTGAGATTGGAACAAGAGTGGAGGGAAAACTCACAAAAAAGTGGTAGAACAGCTGTGGCTACAATCCAGGGCAAGAATAATAGATTTAGGGGAAAATAAAAAAAACAGAAAATGTTCTAAACAAAAAACTAGTATCGTGTAGTAAATAAAGATGTTACACAATTTTTAGATCTATTTTATTTATGTAGTAATTAAAAATACAACAATACCCATGACAGATGAAATTAGGGCTAATAAACAAAAATTTTCAATATATAAAAAAAATCTGGTGGTGTAATGAAAAGTTCTCATCTTTCTCTCTGCTGATTGATGGAATCAAGTACAAATAAATATACAAAGTTATCCTAACATTTATGTAGATTCAGCTAATTTTTCTGCCTTTTGGACCACCTCTTCAATGGGTCCGACCATGTAGAAGGCTACTTCTGGCAAGTGGTCTAATTCACCAGCAAGAATCTTTTGGAATCCCTATAAAAGACAAACCATATTATTCAAAATTTCTACACACTATTAACTAAATAACACAAATTTTTTTTAAATATTAATATGCCATGACTAATCTAACTCTTTGTTATATTTTAATTCTGTAAGCATTATATTTTTGTTTGTTTCAACAAAATTTGATTTCTTTCTCAGACCAAAATAGCGACATTAACCTACTCTTTACATATTTTGCAATTAATGAATCGATGTTAATAATTACATTTCGTATATTTGATCAATTAAAGAAGTTTGAATGCTTTAGTAACACTACTTTACATTTGGACCACTTTCAAATTTGGAATGTATTAGTTTAGATCATGATCATAATTTGAAATAAAACTAGTATTTAATTACCTTAATGGTTTCTTCAAGAGGAACAAGTTTTCCAGCATGGCCAGTGAAGACCTCAGCAACTTGGAAAGGTTGTGAAAGGAAACGTTGGATCTTTCTAGCACGAGATACAGTAAGTTTGTCATCTTCAGACAATTCATCCATACCCAAGATGGCAATAATATCCTGAAAAGGTAAGCATATATAAAAGTGTTCTCTATTCTAGAAAAATGGTGAATTGAAACAACTTATTTTGTCGTGTTACTAACCTGAAGTGATTTATAATCTTGCAAGATCTTCTGTACATCACGAGCAACTTTGTAATGTTCAGCTCCAATAATATTGGGGTCCATGATACGTGAGGTAGAATCCAAAGGATCTACAGCTGGGTAGATACCCAATTCAGCAATAGCACGGGACAATACAGTGGTAGCATCCAAGTGAGCAAAAGTGGTGGCTGGAGCAGGATCTGTCAAGTCATCAGCAGGTACATAGATAGCCTGTACTGATGTAATGGAACCCTTTTTGGTGGTGGTAATACGTTCCTGCATGCTACCCATGTCAGTGGCCAAAGTAGGTTGGTAACCTACAGCAGAGGGGATACGACCTAACAAGGCAGATACCTCTGAACCAGCTTGAGTAAATCTGAAATTAACATATTTTATGATATGAATGAACAATAAAAATAAAAAGTACTACATTAAAAAAGTTAAAATTAATTAAGACCAAGAATGATGACCATTTATTACTACAACTGTAATACTGACAGGAAATTTGGTTAACATCATCATCTATTGAATGATTTAACGCTTAGTTGCTAGATGGTACTTAAAGTACCACTTATTGTCTTTATATTCACCTTGATTATTTCCTCTAGGTATTTTAAAGTACAGTTTAGAGAATAATATACATTAATTTCAATCAACTGGCAACATTTTTTTATCACAAAAACAATGACAATAAAGTGCATAACCTAACTGTGGCAGTGAGATTTGTTATCTGTAACATGTGTGCTAATAAATTAAAAATTATCATCAAATTTCAGTATAACTGGTTATAACAAACATTTGATTATAAACTAAAGTACATATTTATTTTTGACAAATAATTACTGGTTTTTGAAAAGAATTATAGCTTCGTTGTGGACTAATGGAGGCGTTTGGAAGTAATTTACTGTTGGGCAAAACTTTGTTTTGTGATTATCGCTTCTTATATTTCTTTTCTTCTTTTAGATGAAAAAACAATAGACTGGACTAGCAAAAACCTCTAAGTGATGCGGAATTATTAAATATTGGTGATAATATGTCGTATTTGGGGATGTATGGGATGATCTAAGTTTCCAAGCTGACAAAGAGTCTGATAATGATGATGAGGCATTAAATAATTCTAGCAATGCTGTACCAAAACATTCAAGTAGACTAGAAGCAGATGTGGCTCAGTCCATAGAAAATGATATTCAAGATATCGAGATAAATTCAATAAATGAAATAACTACTGTAACTCCAGAATACATATACCCAACACATACAATAGAAGAGGATAATTAGGTTCCATAACTATGATACAGTTTATCAGGGTAACTTATATGCTGTCCAAATAAATAAGGTTCTGAATTTGGCAAAATATGAGTTGATAGCATGTTTTCGAATTGTTCATGGGGTATCACAGGTTACCAAATTGGAGGCATTATTGGTCTAACAGTGAAGACTTAAAAACAGTGATTGTTTCAACTGCAATGTGCAGAGACAGATTTGATGCTATATTGAGCAATCTTCATATAAATAACTATACCAACATTGACACTCAAACTATCATGCTGTTGAATGTTTTTATAAATAAATCGATAAAAATCTCCATATTTTTGATTAGGTACCTAATAACTTACTACCTACACTATATTACTCTACACAGCCTGATAGTACTTTAAAGTACCACATCTGTTTCTTGTGTTAATTGAAAAAATTATACTTCTTTTTGAACTTTTAAAGAGTACATTCAAAAAGAAGTATATTTTTTTCAAATAACACAAGAAACAGAAGTGGTACTTTAGAAAAAAAATTTAATTTTTGTATTATTTTTATGACCTAGCAACTAATGGTTAAAATCTATTTGAATTAAAATATGGAGAAGAGTTGCCTGAGACAGAAACAGAAGGTTTATTCTACTTTGGCTGATAATGAGCTGTAATGCCACTGATGATGATAACATCATCATCATTAATGATGCTACAACTCTTCATGAGACTATCACATTTGTATTGACTTTTTTAAGTCAATACAAAGTATTGACTTTTAATATGGGCTGCAGCAAAATAATTATGAATAAAAATATTATAATTTTTAACATTTGTATATATCTTATCACTAATTTTACCTGAAAATGTTGTCAATGAAAAGCAGTACATCTTGTCCTTCTTGATCACGGAAATATTCAGCAACAGTTAATCCAGTCAAAGCTACACGAGCACGAGCACCTGGTGGTTCATTCATTTGTCCATAGACCAAGGCTACTTTAGAGGTCTTATCTTTTAAGGAGATTACTCCAGATTCAATCATTTCATGGTATAAATCATTACCTAGAAAGAAATATTAGCATTTTATTTTATTTTTTATTAGCAAGAATAAATTTAATGAAAGATCAAATTACCTTCACGGGTACGTTCTCCTACACCAGCAAATACTGAGTAACCACCATGAGCTTTAGCTACGTTGTTAATAAGTTCCATAATCAGTACAGTTTTTCCTACTCCAGCACCTCCAAAGAGACCAATCTTACCACCCTTGGCGTAAGGGGCCAAAAGGTCTACTACCTGAAATAATAAGATAAATTATATATTAAATATTTGTGTCAATAAATGATAGATAAGTTAAGGGCTATGAAAATACATACCTTAATACCAGTTACCAAAATTTCTTGCTCTACACTCATATCAACGAATTCAGGGGCTTCAGCATGAATGGAAGCTCTCTTGTCTGTATCAATAGGACCCCTTTCATCAATAGGTTCTCCAATGACATTCATGATACGACCCAAAGTTGCTTCACCAACAGGAATACGGATTGGATATCCTGTGTCATTAACTTGTTGACCACGGACAATACCTTCAGTACCATCCATAGCAATAGTACGTACTGTGTTCTCTCCCAAGTGCTGAGCAACCTAAAATAAAACAATAGTTAGTATCAACTTACTTTTAATACATTGATAAAACAATTATTTTAATTTATATATTTTGTTTAAATTTGTAGTTTATATATAGTAGAGTTTTATTTTTAAATTACATTAGACAGAAGCGCACTTTATAAATGGCAGAACTAGATATTCCGTAGCATCTAATAACATTGGTAAAGGCAACTCTTTCGAAAGTTGAGTGCAAAGTTAAGGTACAAAACAGAGTGTCACATTTTTTTCAAACACAGACTGGATTACACCAAGGGTTTATCGTGTCTATTGTTTAACATCGCACTAGAAAGAGCCATAGCCAAAACAAAATACATGAAGGTCACGAACAGCACACAAATAGTGGCACCACAAGATCTGGTGACAGAAGCACACCCATTCAAAGGGGTCTCGGAGTTTATATATCTTGTAACACAACTAAAAGCAACCTAGTAAGTGTAGAAATTAAGAGAAGAATATACCTGGCGAACAGAGCTTAATTTGGACAAAAGCAGTTCTAACATCACACATAATTAGCAGAAAAACCAATATACTAATATATGAAACTCTTATTAAACCTGTCCTGACATACATGTCAGAGACATGGACTATGATAAAAAGTGACGAAGGACTATGATAAAAAGTGACGAAGAACTATTAGGCTGCTTTGAAAGAAGAATACTTATGACACATATACGGAGGAGTACAAGAAAGCGGGATATGGCGCAGGCACTATAATTTTGAGTTGTATCAATGCTATGAAAAATGCAGCATTGTCCAGTCTATTAAAATTAATAGACTAAAGTGGCTAGAACACCTTGAAAGAATGGACACTGGAGAACCCCAAAGACATATATTAGGCCAGTAGGAACCAGGAAGAGAGGCAGGCTAAGATCTAGATTCAAAACTCAAGTTGTAGATAACTTGAGCAATCTAGGGATCAGAAATTGGAAAGCCAGTGCAAAAGATAGGGAGGAATGGAGACTAATTCTTGAACAGGCCAAGGGTTGTAGAGCAAAAGATGATGATTATGATGCAACTATCAATTCAGTGGCATAATAAACTAATGTGGTATTCCTAAATACATACTAGAAATAGTTTTCAGCAATATTTTAACTTCTATAAAAATTGTATTCATATGTCAAGTACAGGTAATTTATAGCAGTACATACTAATATTTCTCTACACATTAGTTGCATCTCAAATTTATTCAGTTAAAAACTTCTAAAAAAATCTCCATATAAGTTAAAATGAGTATTACTGAGACCTGAATGCATTATTCAAATTCATTGTGTGATTTGTTAATTGGAATAAAAAAACTTTCACCAATATATTTTACATTAAACCTGTATCTGTAGGCTTACTCTGCAAGTATTCACAATGATACATTTTAAAGAATACAAGATGGAAAATTATATTTGTGGCATTATGATTCACTCCTTTAGAACTTTGACATAAAAAATACAAATCCCATAAAGGTAGACTGAGTTCAAAATCTTGTGAACCTCATGCACTCATTTGGTGACATCAATCTACAAACAAAATCACACATTGCTGCAAATATTTAATTCTCCTCAGTACATTCTCATAGCAAGACGCAGTCAAACTAGTTTTTGCATTAGTAAAATAGGTGTGAGTATTTTTTTTTTTTTCGAATAGTCATTTTTAATAGTTTAAATTGAATCTAGTATGAAATTAAAATAGATATAGATGTTTTTAAGATTCATTGGTTTTTTGAGCATATTTCCAAGGTTCTTGAGGTTTTGAAATATATCTACCTACAGTCAACATTTTCAGTTTCTCATTAAAATTAAACATTGAAAATATTAGTATGCCATTATTTTAGATATTTCCTTAAAATGAAGTCTTACAAAGCTTGTATTTACTTTTGATTTTAAATCTTGAAATGAGGTACATAGGTTTCCTTTTTCTAGAAGAAAGTCACAAGTCTTCTCATCTCATCCCAGTTTCTAGAATAAACTTGGTATCTACATTCTTCTTGGTCTTAAATTCATAATTCTTTAGAGTCCTTCCATACTGTGTTAAATAGGTTTATTAGTTATAGTTGTTATTTGTAGCATTGTATGTCCTTTATCATTAGCAGAATTAGATCTTCATATAACATCCTATGTGTATTTTATAATGTTCTGGACATTATATTTTTATTTGAATACTCTTTACTGTGACATTAAACTAAATATTATACTGTTGTGTGGTGTTATGTATTACATTATTACAAATATGATACTGCTAGTGCTAGGTATATATGATATTGATTATGTAAGAAAAATACCATCTTAGAAATAAATATGGTAGGACGATAAAAAAAAAGAAAATATGTTCCATTACATAATTACACAAAGAAAAATCTTAATATTTTTAGTACTAATTCACTTATAATATGGAACTTAGTACTTTAAAAGTAGAATCTACAACAACATGTGAGACACAACAGAATATTACAAAATACAAAAATGGATTAATTGAATTATGTACTTACTTCAAGGACCAGCCTAGGTTGACGGTTTTGGACTTCCAATGCATTTAGAATTGGGGGTAGTTCTTCATCAAATTGTACGTCGACGACGGCACCAATGACCGCTACAACTTTTCCTTGTGCCTTACCGGCAGCAGCTTTGGCAGCGAAATCTCTTTCTAAAATAAATCAAATTAAAAGATAACCTCTTAATATCCAATCACTTTACGTAAGTTTCAAAATGGCGATCACTTGATATGTAGGTAGTTATGTAATCAAAGAAAAAAAATCATTGAAACCCCAATTTATTGAAATTGTACCCTAAAAGAATACTCCCTCCTTTAATGATTGATCTTCTGGTTGATACTTGAAATAGTACATTATAAAATGTAGTATTCAAAAAGAGATTATCGACTTCTGACACACTACCCGGTAAACACTTCCCTTGCATGAGAAAAAAAATGATATACTACTTACTTTGTACATTGTACGAAGAGACAATTTTGAGGGATTCAGAACTAACTTTTTCGATGGTTTTTCCAGCCAAAAGGCTGGACGTTGCTCTTGCCACAGCACCCAACATGGTCCAACTTCAACAAGAAGGCAGACTGCAGAATGAAGTTTAGATAATTCGTTTCGTCTCCGCTAGTAGGCACTTCCTTTGTGCGCAATCGTGTGATTTTTGACTTTGCGCAATGAAAAAATTGACCTTTGAAGGTTATCAGTTCTCTGCAGCGACTTCTTCTTCTTTACGTGCCATCTCTTGCCAGAGGTTGGCAACCACATGGCCGATCTTACATCAAAGACCAGTTACACCAAGGAGTAGATGGTCTTTGATCTTATATGCGACTCGTCTGAAAAGTTCGACAGATGAGCAAATGAGCATCCGCCAATAAGCTCGCCACTCACATTCCAATGCCTCAGTACGATTTTGTCGAATGTTACAAAATTGAACGTAATTTGATCGTTTATTTGCACCATTCGACCAAATCCGCCCGATTTGACGGCAGACAACCAAGAACAGAACGACACGGACGACTGCAAAAATATCATTTACTGGTCAGTTTTGAAAACGGCTTAAACACTTATTTCTTTAACATTTATAAAAAACAGAGTGTCTGAAAAATAAAATGGACCTCATATAGAAAGAAAAAAAGAAAATTATTAATTTTTGAATATGTTACAAAAGGGAATTAAAATTATCTGGATATAAAAGCAATTCTTCTAATTTACGTGACAGTTTATATCTTTCCAGCAACCAATCTTTGTACCATCACCTACGTTTCTTGTATTTTTTCGTTTATACAAGGAGCAAGAGCCGCTAAAAATATATCGTTATCTGACATGTTTATGATTTGAAAGTAAAACTCATACTGCAAAATCGGTATGTTGGTGTTCTCATCCGATTTTCAACAATATCGTACTGCAATTGCATTCGACAAAATCGTACTGCGCCGTTGTTACGTGAGTGGCGGGCTTAATGATCTATAGCTATAGTACTATTCTTGCAAGTTGCGCAACCATGAGATTCTTCTCCTTTCCTAAGTTTTTCGTTGCATAACTAATTGAAGCACGTAATATACATATTTCGCCACATATAAAATGCCCCAGCCATTGCAGATTTCTGATTTTGACGGTTTCTATTATTTCCGTACTCTTATGCATTATTCTCACGACTTTACTGTTTGTTTACATAATCAATGCATGATATGATATTTTCATCATTCTCCCTCTCCTGTATACGCAAAATTCAAATGCTTTTGCAGCGACGACATTGGTCCAATTCACAAAACACAAAACACTAAAAAATTGAGCGTTTGTAGGTTATGAACTTGTGTTCTGTGAAAAGAAAGTATTGTCACAGAATAATAAAGAATTAGAATGCTCACTGTGCTTAAAAAAATAATTTTGTATTGTTTTTGTTTATAGTTTAAAACTTTAAATTTATATTTTTGTTTTAATTTTAAATATTTTTAAAACTTTTTATTTTTGAAACAACGATCAAAGAATATATACGCATATAGATGCATCTATATTCTTTGCAACAATGTTAGGTTCATAGAGCTAATTTCTGAGAAACCAAAGCTATACAATCCATTATATATAATATAATGGTTATAGGGATGTTACTACAAGTAAGATCAAGAAATGAGTACAATAGGAAACTCCATTTCTGAAAGATGGTAAACTAAAAGAAGAAAATATATCTGCTATAATTGAGACCACACGACCACAGATGTATATATTAACATAGACTGAGCATGACATAATTAAAGACTCTAGAAAAACTGCTCGATAGTCATGGTTTATTGGTTCTTCGATATATTATAGGTGCAGTATACGTAGAACAAGACTCTCTACAAGAACGGCACTGCATCATCTCCTACAGAGGGTGGAGTATGTTCTGGAAAACCAAGAGGTGATGTTGGAAGCATTTGTCGATATAAAGGGAGTATTCGACAACACCTCATAAGAACAACTTGTTTAACATAGAACAACTTATTGTGGAAGTTAAACTGAATGATGATCAGCTTAGAATAGGAGGAATCTATATACCACCTAGTTCATTAGCTGAGGCATATGAATATCACTGCACCTTTCTTGAGGAACTGATAAGTCAACATCCACAAAGTTCTGTGATTTTGGCTGGCGTTTACAACCTGAGAGATGCTCAATGGGCTAATGATCAAAACGGGGTTTATTTATCTACCTTCCTTCCTGATGGCTCTCATGCGAATACAGTATGTGGATCTTTTGCATTTTTGAATCTCCATCAGTGCAATAATCTCATTTTTTCATATATACCTGATCTAAATGTGTGTACGCTGGTCGATCCATTGTTTTGTGAATCATTCAGGCATAAGGCATACGAATTTTTTATCCCTATTGGCTATTTTAAAGAGTCGGTTTTTTATGAAGACTATGTTTATGATTTCAAAAACTGTAATTTTAATTCTGTTAACCTTTATCTGTCTTCAGTTAATGCATTATACCATTGTAATAATATAAATGAGGATTGTCAAATATTTTACAGCTATATGTATCAGTGTTTAAATATTTTTGTTCCTATGAAGGCTGTCAAGTGTTCCTACAAGTTCCCAATTTGGTTCTCAATAAAACTTAAAGATCTTATTATTCAAGAGAAAAAAGCTCATCTGAGGTTTAAATTATCTAAATCAAACGAGGACTACTTATTGTTCTCTAATCTGCATGATCAATGTAAAGTTGAATATACACTTTGTCAGAAACAACATTTTCGTCTCTTGAAAAAAATTTTAGTAATAACCCAAGGAAATTTTGGAGATACATTGGCAGACTTCGTAAATCTTCCGGTTACCCCCAAGAAATGTATCTTGGTGACAGAAGGGCACAAGGCAATATCGAAATTGCTAACCTTTTTGCTGAGTTCTTCTCTAGTGTATATGAGAAAGATAAAGGTGCTTCAATTCCAGATTTTGAAAACTCTGTCAGACACATTGACCCTGTAAACCTAATTCAAGTTGACACTATATCAGTGTTTGATGAATTAAGAAAACTTCCAAACAAATTCTCCTCGGGGCTTGATGGAATCCCACCAGTATTATTAAAGCACTGTCCATGCTCTCTTACTATATGCTCCTAAAATATCTTTATAATTTATATCTTATGACTTGTTATTTTCCTTCATTCTGGAAGAACAGTTATATTGTACCCATTTTTAAGTCAGGTAAAAGGGAAGATATTGAAAAATACCGAGGAATTTGTATACAGTCAGCAATCCCAAAACTTCTCGACAAGCTAGTGACTTCTCACTTATCAAAACTAATAAATAATATAATAATAATACCCCAACAGCATGGCTTTCAAAGGGGGAGGAGCACAGTGTCAAACTTGTTGGTCTACCAAGATGATATATTGAGTGCCTTTGAGAGGTGGACAGCATCTATACAGACTTCTCAAAAGCATTCGATAAAGTAAATAATCGTTAGGTAAAGGAATAGGTAAAGAAATAATAAATCAGACTTACTCACAATCAATTTAATTTAACTATCCGACGACCGGTTTCGCTTTCTACAATATGCAAAGCATCATCAGGTCTCGGTACAAAGTTAAACAAATGCTGAAATGATAAAAAACCCATATTAGGGTGTTGTCTAATAAAGATAAACAAATTAGATGTTATAAATTACAATAATTATGCCAATATTACCTGTCTGTGGTTTTATTTAAATGATTGAGTTGAATAAAAGGTATAAATATTTTTTAAAAAAGTTAAAAGGACAAGGTAAGGCCCACAAGTTGTCATAAAATCTCTTCTATTGGAATAAATTAATGAATGAGCAAATAAATAAATGAAATAAAATAAAATTACTTACATGCCGGTACTCTATTAATAGATGGATGGTAGAACATGTTTGAAACTACTGTATATTGTTGAATGGAGAACTCAATACTATTATTGCAGTTGTTTGACAGTAAACGGGAAGTTCTTGAGGAGGTAGATTTGATCCAATGAATTTGAGATGTGTGTGAGATTGTTTGTTAAATGTAAGTGGTGTAATATATTATTGTGTTATTAAAAGTTATTTATACTTATTCCAGAGATATATTTTTGAAATGTGTGTTATTTATTGAGTAATTGTTTTATGAAGGTGACATTTATGACAATGAATAAGTGTAGATGTAAAATTGTGTGGGTGTGCAATTATTTCCAAACTTGTAGTTATCAAATTACTTTGATAAAGTTCTATTGGCAATGTGTTAATTATTGGAATGGTCAAGTGAATAAAATGAATAAAATGGTAAAATACAAACACTTAAGGATAATTTAAACACACTAAAAACAGAAAACACTTAGAAGGGACGAAACAAACATTGAATTTAAAAGGGGAAGGACTTTAAAGCACTACATCATAGTCTTTGGCACAATGAGTTTTTTGTTGTTGTATCTAATAGATTTTAGTGGTAAATTTTGACAGATGTAGGTTAGCATGTGACAGTTCTTCTTCTGTTTCTCAATACTGTAAGTTAAGTTATCTAGTTTCATAAAATATGCTGTTATTAATAATGAATGTCTATAAGCCTGTTTCAATTTAGATATATCAAAAGTAAATTGATGTGTTTAATATTGGCATACTTTAACAATCTTTAATTAATCAAATTTAGTGTAAAAATATGGTTTTTATTTATTGAGTAATTGTTTTATTTTATTTAATCAGTAAATTAGGAGCCATTGGTATAGCTGGCAAATGGTTTGATTGGTATGATCTGATTTGATTGGTTTTCTTGTGGGTAACACCCAGAGCATTAAGATAAATGGTATGATGTCTCAATCTGTTGACGTCCTCTCTGGAGTACCACAGGGGTCACATTGTGGTCCTCTTTGTTAACGATGTTAAGAAAGTCATTAAGTATTCAAAATTTCTCAACTTTGCTGATGATAAAAAAATTTATAAAGTCATTCTCTAAACTAGAATATGCAATAGTTGTATGGGAACCTTACTATCAAACATCTATAGACAAGCTTGATCGTGTTCAGCATAAATTTGGTAAACACTATCATTATCGTAGTGCTTTTCATGACCTCTGTGTCCCATACAGTTATAGTATGATAGCTGATCACTTGAAAATGG